CAGGTCGAGCGTCTGCACGGGCGCGGCGTCGGGCTGCAGCCCGGCGGACGCGTTGAAGACGAGGATCGACGCGTCGCGGGCGGCGGCCGTCGTCGCCACCGCGAGCAGCCCGTCCGGCAGCAGCTCCACGCTGTGCGTGTTGCCCATGTCCCCCTGGTCGAGACACACGCCGAACGCGACCTGCTTGTCGTGCGCGGTGCCCGGCGCGCGCGTGATGAGGAGCGCGGCCGCGTTGTACACGGCGAGCACCGACCGCCCGCCGTCCGCCCACTTGGCCTCGGGCACGGCGGTCGGCGACTGGATGCAGGCGAGCAGCGTGGCGGGCAGGGAGGGCTGCGCGGCGGCGTCGGCGGCGCTCCAGGACCATGACGGGACGCCCTGCATGTCGTGGATCAGGATCTGCGCTGGCGTCGACGAGTTGGCGTACAGACCCGTGATGACTTGGGCGAGGGCGAGGCCGGTGGGCACGGACTCGAGGGCGCGAAAGGGCCCGCCGCGGTGTGGTGGAAAGGCGAGGACGGAGGGAGCGAAGAGGGAGAGGGCGAGGGATCGCAGTGAGGGTATACGGGTTTGTGATGGACGCGCCATTGTGGCCGGAGTCTGTGAAGGGAGTTGCTGGAGTGGTTTGGGGACACTCGGGAGGAAGTTTGTATATCAACACAAGACTATATCAGTCGTTGACAATTGACGACGGTCGTTTCCTTTTGGCCGATGACGGTCATTGATAATTACGGGCGGCGCTGGCATTTATAAAAACGACGATGCGCCGGCCGCATCAAGCCCGAGCGCCATCAAACGCCGCCGCCATCTAATAATCTGACGACCTTGCAGGGCCAAGCACCGACCTTGTCCCGGCATGGAGTTGCCGCCAGGCATACGCAATTGAACGCCAATGCCACGGCTGGGGGGGGGTAAGGAATAAGTTAGCGTTGTCATGGTGGCTCCGGATAACGGCTGGGCGAGAAAAGAGCATCAGCTCCAGGAAAGGGTAGCTTTTGCCCATTCCTGGACCCCGCCATGTGTGGCGCTTTTCAGGTCCCCTGACGTCGATGACGACGCCCGCAAGCTGTCCTGAAGAGGAAGAGCGGCGTATGCGAGCTGCTTTCTCAACTGGGGTTCCTTGGATTCTCGCTTCAGTGAAATCTAGACCGATTCGTGGCCAAGGTGCTACCATCAGCCTTGACACAAGGGCGGACTGCGCGCACCGTCCCAAGTTTCGAAGCCACGACGACATTATCGGAACGTGACGAATAAAGCTTAAAGAAAAGCAAAAGAAACCAAAAAGCTTGGCAGGACCGAGGCGAATCAGGGGGCTCGCAAGCTGGGTTGATGGCGCGCAGCCGATGCGGCGCCGGGATGTGGCGGCACCGCGCAAAAGCGGGCGGGCTTGCTCTAGCTCCGCAGAGGGCCGCGTCAGACGTCACTGGTTGGGACCGGCTCCGCTCAACGATGCCGATGAAGCCGGTTGTGGCTTTGTCTATAAACAGAAGGCGGGGGAGGGGGTTCATCCGCATCGCATTGCCTTTTTTCTGCGAAAAATGACAAGGAGGATGGATAGAGAGCGCCAGAATGGGAAAAGGGTCGTGATGAAAGGGAGGTTCTTGGCGGCTCGGCGGATTGACTCGGTATATTAGAGCCCCAAAGGTCAATTCGTCATGCGAGTTGGGGGGTTTACTCGAATATATCGGTGCTGTGATAGCGTGGGTGGCCGGTCGTCGGGGCGAATCCAACTCTGGAGGAAGACGCGTACCCTCCGTTGACGGCGGCTTTGCTTGTCATGGCAAGTTGTCCCGGACTTTGACCACCCACGTTGCTGCGATATGGGGTCTTGACCACTGCTTAGAGCTGAGGCTTTTTCACACTGTAATAACTGCTCACGCTATGCCTTGAAGTCAATGCCCGAAATGATGCGGGCTGAAAGCTGAAGAGCGCTTACCGGTGAGGCGCAGCCACATTTTTTTCCTCTGTCCAGCTCTGAGCGGGATCGGCTACCCATCCGGATTGATCTATCCTTTATTCGTCCCATGTATGCCGGCGATATTCCCGTCGCAAATTGTTCCGGAGAATGAAGTCCAAGTCCGCGAGATGTACCCTCCTTCCGGGTGGTTGATGTGAAGCAGCTGACACGGCCTGGTGTTTTGTCGGGGCGGGCGCGCGAGAAACATTTATATTTAGTTTTCCGCGCGAAATATGTTGGTCATCCAGGTCGTCTTTTGCAGAGGGTGGGAGTTTTCGTCAAGTACAAGAACGAGCCAAGGGTTGAGAAGAGCATGGCGGGGTGTAAGTGCCATGGGGAACTTGGGTTGGCCGGTTGGACTTCCGTGATAATATACACAAGGATCATGACTGTAATGTACAAGTTTCTTCAAACAGCATCGTAAAAGAGCGTCCTCAACGCGGCCACGGCGACCTTTTCACCCTGCCCCTCCATCTTGGCCCTCTCCACGGCCATCCACCGCCCCGCGCCGTCCTCAAAGTAACACACGCCGGACGTGGCATCAACCCGGACGCGAAGCTCCGTCTCGGCACCCTGCGCGCCGACAGCCCTCATCAAGCACGTCCTGCGCCCCTGCAGCGCCACCGTATCCGGCCCGACCGCGACGGCCCGTGTCAAGAGCACCCTCTTGACCTTGCCGCCGCCCGCCACGCCGCGCATCCACACGCTGCCAAACACGCGCAGCCGCCGCAGCACATCATCCACCGCCCACGCCGCAGCGTCGAGCTGCATGTCCGCCTTGGTCGTCTTGGGCGCGTGCGCGAG